TATATATATAATACTTGAGCGATGCATTAGTTTCAAGGTATTTGTTTTTTGTTTTTTTTACTGATCATGCAATAATAAAGAAAACTGCCTGTGCAGGCTCACCTGTTGCATTGAATGCGATCCATTTTGTATCACAACTTTCGTGAAAATATTTATAAATCGTCCGGCCCACAGCCGCGAACAAACCGACTCCCACGGATGTTGTGATCGGATCAAAGGCGTTCACCAGAGCCCCGGCAGTAAGTAAAACGTTTAAGCACAAGAATATGTCTGCCACTTTCATTGTCAGAACCGATTAATTTTAGACATGAGCCGTTTCCTTGAAGCAAAACGAACAAAAAACAGGCGCTGCAAAACGCTAATTCCTGTACAACAGGGGACTTCCTGCTACGTCATGATCACGTGACGTATGAGTTCCGTTCAAAACAAACAGGGCTTTCGCGTTCAAAAATAAAACAATTTTAACTAATTAACTTTAGATGTTGGATGGTTAGAGTTAAAATTGATCAAAAAGACACTTGAGGGACTTAATTACGTGTCTGCGGAAGGTTTTACCTGTTTTGTTTAAAGAAATCCACTCGGGTCGGCAACACTCGTGGAAGTGGTAGAAGATGTTCTGGTAGCTGGCTAAAAAACCGGTAAGAGCCGCAGCCATGCTGACAGCTATGGTGGTACTGATGGGTTCTAGCGCCTCCGCCATGCCCGAACAGAACAGAACAAACAGCAGCAGGACGCAGCGCTTCCTTAGCTTCATGCTGTGCCTTCAGAAAAAAAGAGAAAAGCAGCTAGCCTACTGTTTACCACGGCAGTGGATGCTGGAAATGCACATGATGACGTCAGGGTCCAAAGTTCTTTTCTTCTTCTTCTTTTCGTTTATTGGCGGATTACAAACAACTTTCAGGTGCATACCGCCACCTACTGTACAAGAGTATGTAACTCCATAGCCTCCACAGTCTAAATTCTATTTTTTAATTTTGTATTATGTAAAAATTTAAACAATGCTTTCCTAATATCTCTTATCTCTTCTTCATTCCCTTCTGTTCCCAAAATTCCTTCCAAACTCCATCGTCGCTCTGCCTCTCTCTTCTTTAGCTTCTCTCTTTCAACTGTATATTTTACACATTTCATAAGAATATGTTCTACATTTTCTTTTTCTCCACAACCCTCAAAGTTTTCTTTTGCCCTTTTTCCTATTAAATATAAAAAGTCATTCAGCAGTGTATGGCCTACTCTTAATCTTAATATACTCACTTCTTCTCTTCTGTTTCTTTCTCCATGTTCTT